TTTATTTTATTTATTTTATTTATTTTATTTATTTTATTTATTTTATTTATTTTATTTATTTTATTTATTTTATTTATTTTATTTATTTTATTTATTTTATTTATTTTATTTATTTTAATTTTACTGAGGGAAGGGACACTCGCCGGGTGGCGTCACCCCGAGCTGGTCCAGAACTGTCCTGGACGTCGGACACTCCGGTTGGCGATTGGGGTTAAATGAGTCGTTGGAATCTGAAGGAATCGCTCAACGAGCGTCGATATATGCCTCTCATTGACCTCCTGAGCACACCTGCAGCTCAAGCTCTCAACGAACTCTTTTTGTTAGCAGTGATTTTTCGTATTGGGCCTGTACTTGGGTGAATACCTCACTTTAAAAATGTTAAAATGTTCAAATGCTGAAATGTTCAAATGCTGAAATGCTGAAATGCTGAAATGTTCAAATGCTGAAATGTGTTGAAATGAAATGTTGAAATGTTGAAATCTTGAAATGAAATTTTGCTCAAACCTTCAAAACCTGTTTGGATCTTTGGGACCTTTGAAACCTCCCCAATTAGTAGAATGTGCATAATCTCATTTACCTCTTGAATTTTGGGAGACTTTGAAATCTCTAAAGCTCTTAAAATTTTGGGGTTTCGGGAATACTTGAAATGGTAAAATACCTTATAGTCCTACAGTCGCAGAATCCTTGTAATCCGTGCGCTCCCTAAACATTTTGGGTCACCTGGAATACTTTTCATCTTTTGGAGAATCCAGGGGAGAATCTTAGAATTTTTAGTACTTGTAAAGTTTTTGAAAATTTTGAGTCCTTGTAATTTTTGGAATGCTTATAATTTCTTATATCCTTCGAATCATGAGAATTCTTAGAATCCCTGGAATCCTCGCAGCCCTAAATAATCTTTAAGTCTTTAAAGTCTTTGGAGTATTTGGGAATATTTGGAATCATTGAAATATTTCGAATATTTGGAATATATGGAATATTTTGAATGTTTGGAATTTCAGGAATATTTCGAATGTTTGGAATATCTTAAATATCTGAAATATGTGGAATATTTGGAATATTTCAAATATTTGGAACATTTGGAATATTGGGAATATTTGGAAATTAGAATGGAATATTTGGAATATTTTGAATGTTTGGAAAATGTGGAGTATTTGGAATATTTGGAGCATTTGTAACATTTGGAATATTTGGAATATTTGGAACAAATGGAATATTTGGAATATTTGGAATAAATGGAATATTTGGAATAAATGGGATATTTCGAATATTTCGAATATTTGAAATATTTGGAATATTTTGAATATTTAAAATATTGGAAATATTTGGAATGGACTATTTGGATGGACTATTTGAAAAATTTTGAAGATTTGGAATATGTGGAGTATTTGGAATATTTGGAGCATTTGTAATATTTGGAACATTTGGAATATTTGAAATATTGGGAACATTTGGAATATTTAGAATATTTGGAATATTGGGAATATTAGGAATATGTGAAGTATTTGGAATATGTGGAGCATTTGTAACATTTGGAACATTTGGAATATTTAGAAAATGTGGAATATTAGGAGTATTTGGAATGTTTGGAATATTATGAATATTTGGAATATTTGGAATACATATTTGGAATATTTCGAATATTTGGGATATTTGAAATGGAATATTTGGAATATTTTGAATATTTGGAATATGTGGAATGTTTGGAATATTTGGAGCATTTGTAATATTTAGAATATTTGGAATGTTTGGAATATTTGGAATAGTAGGAATATTGCGAATATTTGGAATATTTTGAAAACGACGGCTCATCAAAGATCTCCAATGTGAGCTATTGAAAAGCAGCCCAACGTCAGATCGATAACTTCCTGCCTACGCGCTATCATGAAGGTGGCAAACTGCTCCTGATTTAAAACATTCAAATCAGTTCTTTGGAAGTACTCCAGAATGTGTCGCCCCTCGATTTCTTACCCGTGCTGCTCCACGCAACAAATTCGACAGCACTCTTATCAACCCCGCCCTATGGAAGAACATCCTCCATAAGCTCGTGCTTAAAACAGGAGTTTCCCTCTGAATGCGCTTCAAGATGGCGACCGTGTCATCTGGGAGCCGGTATAGCACAGCGATCTCCTTATGGTTACCCTAGGGACGTGCCATTCCAGGGCCTAATAGGAGGGACGGTCCTCTCCAACCAGTTCAAGGTCCGCTGGTCCTCGCATTCGGCCACAATGGCACCCTGCAGATTCCAGTTGAACTTTGCCGGGCGAGTAAAGGCCCCCCCCCCTCCATTTCGTTCACAACTGCAAAATCTAATCGTAATGCATCTCGATTGAGGCTTAGCGATGTCCACCCTGAGCCTTGAGCCCTCAAATAAGGCCCTGCGTTGGAACCGTCCCCTCTTTCGAGGAGCCTGCCCCGCTACCGAGCCCATTTTAAGCGATGTATGGTACTAGAGGGTAGATCGCACCTTTACACTAAATACTGGAGAAGAGAAAGAGTTCTGTTTCTTGTATTTGAATTGTTGTGTACTCCTTTTATTATAATGTTTTCCCTTTTGAAGTTTTCAGATACACTTGATGAATTTTTTTGTATTTTTATTTTATTTTAACATTTTTTAAAATAGCCTGGATTTTACTTATTTTTGAAACTTTTCGAATAGATCAAATTTCTCATGCGTCTTTGCTCGTCAAAATTTTTAACTGTTTTTTGAATTTGTGTGTAGTATGTTTTTGGAGTTTTTTAATTATCACCTATACCTTTTTCATTCCTTCCGAATTTTTCGGAATTTTATTTTTTATAAAAATTTTCGATTTTCCAAATTTTTTTGTTTTTGACCATTTTCTGAAATACTAAATTTTGAAAAAAAAAAATACAAAAACCCGCTCAAAACAGATTGATGGTAATTATGATTTTTTTAAATTACAATCTGATTTTTTAGAAATTTATTTTATTTTCTGAATTTTTGAAGTAGTTCATAATTTAATTTCTAATTCTTTGATTTTAGTTATTATCTTTTCTAAATTTTTTTTAATTTAAATCTCTAGAGCTTTTGACATATTTGGAATTTTGGTAATCTTTGGCACCTTAACGAGCTTTGAAATTGTTTGTTTAAGCCTTTTAGCTTTGAGTCTGCCATCTCAAATAGGTATACCATACCATTGGGTCCGTTAACTTGGCCCCCCCCACTGAGAGATTTGATAGTCGTATTATTTTAAAATGAATGCGCTCGTTATGCGCTCATATGCGCCACCGATAATAACTCTTGCGCCATTATCGTTCTTTAGAAATCCGAAAAAAACATTTGGGGGGGGGCCAAGTGAACGTAGCCCCCCCAGTACGTATTTTGTCCCTTGTAACTAGGTCACCTGATACATTTGGTTATGCGCTCAATTGCGCCACTTGAATTAACGCTAGCGCCATTACGGTTAAGCCGTGACAAATTTCCAAAAAGTGGGGGGGCCAACTTAACGTTTTTAAAGGTTACTTTTTTTTAACATCTTTTCATACGAAATTGTACTCTCAGGTATGCGCTGAAATGCGCCGTAAAAAGATATCTTTGCACCATTATTGTTTTTTGGTTATCCTTAAATATATTTGGGGGGGGGGCCAAGTGAACGGAATCCCCCATAACGCATTTTACTACCGGTATTTGTGCCACTTGATACATCTGGTTATGAGCTCAATTGCGCCACTTGAATTAAAGCTAGCGCCATTACGGTTAAGCCATAAAAATTTTAAAAATAGGGGAGGGGGGGGCTAACTTAACGTTTTCAAAAGTTACGTTTTTTAACATGTTTTTTCTACTACATCGTACCTTTCATCATGCGCTAAAATGCGCCGTAAACAAAAAATCTTGGCGCCATTATAGTGTTTCAGAAACACTATACAGGGTGTTTTTTGGGAGCTTTAGTTAAACGATTCTGAGAAAGTAAAATAGGTAGGTTTTTAAAAATTTGTATTTAGGAGTTACTCCGAAGGCCGAATCGATGTAAAATATTTTCAAAATGGACCCACTTCCGGAAATAACTTTGAAAAAGTTAGACCCTCCACTTTTTAAAAATTTGTCACGGCTTAACC